ATAAACCCAAGGTTTTGGTAACACTCTTCATCTTTTTTCATACCGTCCATTAAACACAAGTTGGTACCACTTCTTCAGTTTTTCATTTTTCAACGTTGGTTTTTTATTATTTTTATTCAATCACCTCATTTCATGACTATGGGTCTTTTGTACATCCGAAATGGAGGGGTTTGGAGGACCAAAAAGTGTTGTATTGTACATTTATTAGATTTGATACACATATTCAATTAATTAAGCGAAAATTTCAAAGAATGCGCAAATACATTAACATTAAAAAGAGGAAACTAAAGAGAAATTAACATATGTAGAGGGATTTAGACACACTTAGACAAGACAGAACAAAAAGTTAAGAGTGGGGACAACAACAATTTGATCGACTTTCCAGGTAGAATCAGAATAGAATAGGAGTGTCTCTCTCTTTAGTATTTTGTGGGCAGACGACAGTTGGAGATTTTTGGTTGGACTCACAAGTAGGGTGCGACAATCCGTGAGACTAGGATTTTGCACACCCTTCGTTCTAATTTCCCTCACATACGACTCTTTCTTTGCGAACCCTATTAAATCGATCTATATGCGACTCAGAGTGTTTGTACACAAAAATGAACTATAAAGGATATAGGGAATAGGATACCCGGTTGTTTCTACCTTTCTATAATGGATTCTCAGAGTCTCTTTAAGGACTTTTCAATTCTGACTTCCATATGGAGTATTCCAAACACAGACTCACGATACCCGGGAGTGGTGAGGGGAGTCTAATCATGATCTTTTCGTACATAAATGGTGATGCAACTCTTACGTAAGACTAACAAGCATTGACTTGGACATTACAAAGGTAATTAGTAGGGAACTTATCTCGAGCGACAAGGTGCAGGGGGGGTGTCGAGGTCAAACAAAAGATTTGAAGGACAAAGGTCAGTGCGCGTTCCTTCCGCATGCCGTGGCCTAACAAGGCGCGGGCGGAGCCAGCGAGGGGGCGACGGACTAACGGTACCATTGCCTCCACCCCACGGCTACCTGGCGCACCAAAGGCGGGGGCCACTCGCTGCCAGTGGAAGTCGGGGGGGGCTCTCGACGACGACCGGGCGCCTCGTTCCACTCCTGAGGGGGGGGGGGGGGGGGGTCGGGGGAGGATATTTAGTGATATTGTATATTCCCGGACAGTCAGGGCTAATTTAGGAAAATAGCTCTAACTTAGCGCCGTGTAAAAAAATAGACAAGATTACGTGGTAATCTCCTTAATAAAAGGTTCAAACATTAGTGAGAATAGTTATATACTCACCCTGTTACGAATACGTTTACAAACACATTAGATAGTAACCTTTGTACAGAGAGAGAGGAGACATCCTCTTATACTCATAACTTATAAAATTTTTAACATTTAAACAAAAACCCTCGCCCACGGTACAACTAATGTATACCTAGCGTTACCTTATTAAGTTACATATGCTGTCACGTATCGATTCACACAGATCCAGATTTTCAACACAAAAACGAGCGGAGTGCGCCAGCGGAGTTGGTCGCCCGCGGTCGTCGACGTCCACGACGAGAGAGAGAGAACGCAGGGCCAATATGAAGTGAGCCGCAAATACAGGTTTAGGTCGCTCTCGCATGGATCAAGGGATTGCATCGATGGTACTATACCGACGACCCGGGGAGGATGAGCGTCTGAGTTTGGGAGGATTACCGGGTTTAAGGTCGACTCTTCCGAGAACGAGATGTCGGACGTACTAACCTTAGCGGATGCGTCGGCGGAGACGGTCGCCTTTCAATTCTGTACGGAGTATAAGAATTTTCTTCTTACTTCATAACTCCCGTCGACCGTAAGACAGCCGTGATCCGGGACAATCCGTCCAACAACTAGAGACAACAGTGCCCAATCGCATGCGGATCTGGGCATACAACCAAGCACATACTAGCGGATCGAAGTAAATTTGTTTGGGTTCAAATGGCAAAATTCGTACTTTCGACACTACGTGTCAAGTTATATAAACTGTTTTAGGCTGGAACAAAGAGATTTGAATAACTTTACATAAATACAGAGTTTTAATTTTTTTTAATAAATTTTTTTTTTTTGTAAAAAAGTTGTGTAAAAAGAAAAAAAATTTATCCTATACATGTAAAGCCAATTAGCCAATTGGCAAAAAACCCCCCAACTTATACGCTTATATGTAAACCGTAAGTTTAAGCGGTAGGAGATATTCTCCCTGTCGATGTCGGCTCAGGTCGTCGTGCTTGAAGTTGGCAGTGGGTGAATTCTAGGTAAAGTTTTCGGGTGTGTCTAAGATTTAGCCTTGTTAAGGGCGGGGTGGTTTGCCCCCCGTGTTCAACTGCAACAAACTTGTCAAACGTCCTCCAGTCCCTGAACGAGAGTTCCGTCTTGTCTTTGATTGAACAAATGCACAAGCGGGCACTTCTGCGATCGTTGCAGCGACGGGGCGTGCTGAAAGACATCAGGACTCTGGCTTCCCTTGGTCCTTCACCACTTTTTGAGTGAAGGCCTTAAAATCCTGAGGCCACAAGGACGTCGGTTCGAGCGTAAATTCTTCGTCTGTCCAAAAATAACATTTTCTCCGAAATTTAGAGTCTTTATCAAGTTCAAAGAAAATGTGTTAGTCTTATAGCAAATGTCTTTTTTATCACATAAACATTTCGGGCAGGTTTGTTGGTTCCGGGGGGGGTGGAGTGTCTGCGACCCGACGTCGCGTGGTGGGGGAAGGGCGACGAGGGAGGTAGTCTTTCGGTTGGAGGGATAGGTAGGGTGGGGTGGTTAGTGGCCTGTACCCGCCCTTTTCGTGCTCGGAAGAGGGCAGCGACGGGGGAGGGAGACCTTGAGTGGGGGGGTTGGGTAGTCTCTTGATGTGGCTGGAGTGGTGAAGGTTTTGTGTAGTGTGTGCTGAGTGGAAGAAGTTAGACCGAAAAAGTACAGCACTAACAAAAACATTAATAAACTGAAATTGAAATTGATATATATATAAACAACAAGAAAAGAAAGGAGGGTCGATAGACATAGACATTTCGCCAGAAACTCGTGGACATTTTCGCGATTGTTTAATTTAGATGAATAATGAATTAATGAATAAGTAAAAGCACGGTCCCACTACTGGGGGGGGGGGACCAGGTCCACTACATGGGGAGGGGGAAGCTGTTGCGGGGCTCGCTGCGGCGGCCGAGTCCGACAACAGCTCCCCTCCCCAGTGTCGGACTGGGGTCCCCCCCCAGTAGGTTGGACTGTGTGTTTTATTAGTTATTATTTCTTACTTGGATGCCCTAAATTAAAGGCAATTCGCGAAAATCGTCACCGAGTTTCTGCCGAAATCGTCTATTATCACTTCTTCTTTTCTTTTTCTTCCGTTGTTTATATGATATAGCAATAGTTCGAATTTCAGTTTATTTATGTTTTTGTTAGTGTGGGTACTTTTCGCGTCTAACTTCCCACTCAGACACACTCACAAACTTTCCACACTCCAGCCACATCGAGACTACCCAAATCACTCAAGGTTCTCCCCCCGGTCCGCTGCCTCTTCCGACGACAGGGGGGTCCAGGCCACTTAACCACGCCCACCCCTTACCTACCTCCAACCGAAGACTACTCGCCTTCCGTCGCCCTTCCCCCACACCACCACCGTCCGTCCAGACACTCCATCCGGACCAACAACTCCCGAAATCCCCGTTATGTTATAAAAAGAACATTTGGGCTATAAGACTACACATTTCTTTGAACTTATAAAAGACTTCTAATTTCGGAGTAAAATGTTATTTTTTCGGAAGAATTAGCTCACCACGTCCTTGCTCAGGATTTTTTTATGCCTTTCACTCAAAAAGCGGTGAAGGACAAGGGAGCAGAGTCCTGATGCTTCAGCACCCCTCGCAACATGCAGTAGTGCCGGGCTTGTGCATTTGTTCAATCAAAGACAAGACCGAACTCTCGTTCAGGGACGGAGGACGGTTCGGACAGTTTGTTTGCGAAGTTTGACACAACGGTAAATCTTAGACACACAAACTTTATACCTACGAATTTCAACCGCACTGCAACTTCAGCACGACGACCTGAGCGGACATCAAGGAATATCATCCTTACCCTTTAAAAACTTTACCGTTTACATATAAGGTATAAGTTGGGGGGGTTTTTTGCCAATTGCGCTAATTTGCGCTTTTAATGTAAGGTATTTTTTTTTCTTTACTCACCTTTTTACAAAAAAATTTTTATTCAAAAAAATTAAACTTTGTATGTTATGTACAAGTTTTATTCATCTTCTTTGGTTCAGCCTAAACAGTTTAATATCAACTGACCACTAGTCGTCGAAAAGGTACGAATTTGCATTTGAACCAAAAATTTAACTTTCTCCCTAGTATGGTGCTTGTTGTATTGCCCAATCCCATTGCATTGGGCACTGTTCTGCCTTCTAGTTGTTCGGACATTGTCCCGGATACGTGTCTTACGTCGAACAAGGTATCGAGTAAGAAGAAATTCTTATACTTCGTACAGATGAGTCCCCTCTCCCGCCCACGCATTCCCTAAGTGTTGTGTAGTACGTCCACACTCTTCTGGAGAGTTCGACCTTAAACCCGTAATCTACTCCAAACTCAGACGCTCATCCCTCCCCGTGTCCGGTATTCTAGTAATCGAATGCATCTTGGATCGGATCTAGACTACCTAAGACCTGGGTATTGCGCTCACTTCATAATTGCGCCTGCTTCGCTCTCTCTGCTCGTCGCTTCGGACGTCGAGGCGGGCGGACACTCCCTGGCCACTCCGCCTCCGTTTGTGGGAAGATCTGGATTGTGTGAATTCGATTACCGTTGACAGTATGTAACTTTAATAACGGGTAACCTAGGTATACATTAGTTGTATGCCGTGGGCAGGGTTTTTTTGTTAATGTTAATTTTATTAAGGTATTGAGTATAAGAAGGATGTCTCCTCTCTGTACGCAGTTACTATTATCGTGTTTCGTAAACGTATTTCGTAACAGGTGAGTATATAACTATTCTCATAATGTTTGAACTTTTTATAAGGAGATTTCCCGTAAATTCTTTTGTCATTTTTTACACCCGCTTAATTCAGAGCTATTTTATAAAATTAGCTGGGACTCGTCGCGATATTACAATATTAAGATATCTCCCCCACGCAGAGTGGACAGGCGCCGGTCCGGTCGTCGAGAGGCCCCCGCGGTGTCACTGGGGCAGCAGTGGCCCCCCCCTCGCTCGCGCTGCGCCGAGGTAGGTAGTGGGGTGAGGCAATGGCTACCGTTAGTCTCCCGCTCGGCCCTCCGCCTGTTAGGCAGGCACTTGCGAAGGACGCCACTGACCTTTGTCTTCATCTTTGTTTGACATTCGACACTCCCCTTGTCCTTCAGATTAAGTCCTACTAATTTACCTTTCGTAATGTCAATCAATGTTGTTAGTCTTACTAGAGTTGCATCACCATTATGTACATCATTGATTTTAGACTCTCACCACTCCCCGTATCGGAGGGGGTCTGTGTTTGGCGAATACTAGATTGGGATCAGAATTGAAAGCCTTAAAGGACTCTGAGGGAATTCTTATAGAAAAGGGTAGAAAACCGGGTATCTTATTCCTATCTATCTCTATAGTTCATTTGTTACAACATTTTTTGAGTATATAACTGATTATAATAGGGTTCCAAAGAAAGAGGTGTATGTGGGGGAAATTAGAAGAAGTGTGGGCCTCTAAGTCTTCACGTTGTCCGCACTACTTCGTCGAGTCCATAAAAATCCACTGTCGTCTCCCACAAATATAGAGAGAGACACTCTATTCTATCTCTATTCTACCTCGAAATTCATCAAATTTGGTTGTTGTCCCACTCTTAGCTTTTTGTTCGTCTTGTCTAAGGTGTGGCCTAAATCCTATTATGTTAATTTCTCTTTAGTTCTCTTTTTATGTTAATGTATTTCATCTTTGAAATTTCTTAATTTAATTCGGAAATGTGTATAATTCTATATAATGTACATACACACTTTTGGTCTTTCACCCTTTCATTCATGTACAAAAGACCATTAGGTCATGAAATGAGGGGTTCGATTGAATAAAAATAATATAAAACACGTTGAAAAAATGTGAAAGATGAAGAATGTACAACTTGGGTTTATGGACATGAAAGATGAAGAATGTACAACTTGTGTTTATGGACATGAAAGATGAAGAGTGTAGACACTCTGTCGTTTTTATGAACATGAAAGATTTCTACTTCTTACATGTTGAACACAAATACCTGTACTTTCTACTTCTTACATGTTGAACACAAATACCTGTACTTTCTACTTCTTACATGTTGAACTCAAATACCTGTACTTTCTACTTCTTACATGTTGAACTCAAATACCTGTACTTTCTACTTCTCTCATTTTCCAAACAGGCTGGTTCCTTTAGTCTGAATGTGTGTTTGGTGGCGTGATCATTATTATTTAGAGTCATTGCGTGCCTATTGATTTGAACACGATCCGTGTATCCATCATTTCCTGGTCTTCTCTAAAGAAGAGGGACCAATGGAAACGTTGTCATGTTGCCGTTGGTCACCATGGAAACATTCATTAGCTAACAATGACATTATTGTTCTATTAATATAAAGGGAGGTCAGGTACTCTTTAAAACAGCTGCTAGTTATGGGTACTTTTTACTGAAGTACATTTCAAAGCCTCTTTACTTTGACTTGAGTAAAGAAGTTTATCAGTACTTCTACTTTCACCAGAGTATTTTTAAACACGAGTATCTGCACTTCTACTTGGATGTGTGTACTTGTGCCCTCTCTGCTAAGAAGTGAGTCGACCTTCCAGCATTCTCACCAGGAGATAACCAGTAAAACCAGTTTAGCGGTTCTTTATAGGATCATTTTTTGTTGTGGTTCCTTCTGGACAAATAAACGTCCTTGTGGTTTCCAAACTGGAAGTCTACGTTCTTCAAATTGGACTCCAAGGGTCCACAGATTGGATTTCAAGTTTCCCAAAGAGTTTTCGATATTCAAGGTTCAAGCAGGGTCCAGAAGGAAACAAAGATTCACAGAGTTTCTTGGTATTTTGGGGGAAACGTGTAGAAGAAGTGTGTTTTGTTCCCTGTTGTCTCAGGATTGTTCATTGTTGAAAGGTTCCCAAAGAGTTGCAGCAGAGTTTGAGGGTTTCAAGCAAGTCTGGATTTGTATTATATTTAAGAGAACATTTGTTATCCCTGCAGGAAAGAAAGTGGAGACGCAGAGGGCGAGCTGTTGCTGGGCGGAACAGACAAGGCGTTGTACACCGGACTAATCAACTGGCTCCCTGTGACTGCTAAGGGCTACTGGCAGATCAAGATGAACAGGTATCCCTATTGTTTTGAAAAATGGTTATTCTGTGTATAATGTAATGAAAGTGTCCTGACCCTGTACGGACAGGAAGGGCTAACTTTCAACACTTATTCAATTATCTCTAAGGGCCTTTTGGCTTAGGGCTCACCTTGAAGTGTTTTTTAGAACAACCCAAACCAAGGTAACAAACTGTCAATCAAAAGCTAGCCCCGCCCTAAACATACCCCTCTGTATCTATCTCTAAACTGGACCATAATTGATGAGATGATCATCATACTGTATTGATGAAGGACTTAAACAACTCATTGAGAACATCAATTCCCTTCAATAGTGTTTTAGATAATTTATCTTCACAGTCTAGTGTATATTTTCTACTTTTTAATGCTGGTTTTAATTCTATTTTGAGATGTTTATTTCTAGTATTGTTTATTTCTACTTATGTGAAATGTTTTACTTTGTTATGCTGCTGCAACGTAAACATTTACCAATTTGGAATCAATATAGTACCTCTTATCTTATCTTATCTTATAGTACAACTGAAACCAAGGAGGCAAACTGTCAATCAAAAGCTAGCCCCGCCCTCAGCATACCCCTCTGTATCGACTATTTCACTCTAAATTGGACCATAATTGAAAAGATGACCATCATACTGCATTGATGAAGAACTTCAACTAGCCATTGAGACCATAGCCTTATAAGGAAAATGTTGCTGTTGACTTTATCCTTCATAGACAAGTAGACTTCCTTTTGCAGCAAGAGTAGTCGCGACATTTAGTCCTATTGGTAATAGAAAAAGAAGGATTTGAACAGAACTCAAATGAACATGTGTGTGTGTGTTTCAGCGTGGTGGTGCAGGGTGTGAATCCCTTCTGTCCTAACGGCTGTCAGGCCATCGTTGACACTGGAACTTCTCTCATCACTGGACCCACTGATGACATCCTGAGCATCCAGCAGCTGATCGGAGCCACGCCCACCAACATCGGAGAGGTTCAAGACCTTTATTTCTACTGTATCAACCTCATCATAAGAGTGAATAGAGCGGTGCAGGGATGAGGTATCGTTGTAGGCCGACCCTGCAGGAAGCTGCTGGTTCCCTCCACAGCAAAGCAACGGGGTTTCTCCAGAGGGTTTTGGAAAAAAACTGGAATTAAGATCTGTGGAAAACGAGTCTGTTTGATAAATGTTTGTTCAGCCGGATAATCTCCACATGTCTACTTTTATAATGTTCTAATCATAAATCTAACGGCCAGAAGCTAAATGCTAACGTTATGCTATAAAGGAACTACAGGTGAGTCCAGCAGCACGACTTCAACGTCACGCCAACTTAAGATCCATATTCAAACACCATCTTCTCCCGCTTATCCGTGGTCGGGTCGCGGAGGTATCAGTTCCAGCAGAGAGCCCCAAACTTTCTTTTCCCCTCATCAACCAGCTCTGACTGGGGGTCCCAAGGCGCTCCCAGGCCAGCGAAGAGATATAATCCCTCCACCTGGTTCTAGGTCTACCCCTCGGTCTCTTCCCAGCTGGACGTGCCTGGAACACCTCCCTAGGGACACACAGATTCTAAATGGTACGAGTTGAAGCGTTTGTTTGAACAGTCTGCAGGAGGCAGGGACTTGCTCTCAAGCAGAACAGAAACTAACTTAGAGGAGTGTTTACGTGTTCGGCGTAATGACGTACAACGGCCTCCACGACTTCTGTAGTCCTATTCAGCCACTTGGTAACAACCATCGTTTTTCAGACACGTCCACTCTTCAGAAATCACCAGTGGGGTCACTGCTGATGGATTTAATGTCGTAGAACAAAACGTGATCCGTCTCTTCAATGTGTCTCAACCACAGACCTTAGTTCAGCTATTTTCCAAAACCCTCTGGAGAGATCCCATTGGCTCTGAGGCGAGGGAACAGGAAGTGGTGAAATGCTGACTCACTTCCTGGTTTTAGGACTCGTCACGGCACCGCTCTGTAGGACAATCCCTTTTTTCTTGAGATGTGTTAACAACCTCTCTTTGTTTCAGTTCATCGTGGACTGTGCCAGGTTGTCCAGTTTTCCTCACGTCACATTCGTCCTCGGAGGAAAGCAGTACACTCTGACATCCGAGCAGTACATCAGGAAGGTTTGTCTTTCTGTCTCTGCTTCGACTTATTTAGGTTCTTTTTTCCCAGGATTATATTGTTAGCAAGTAAGTTGGGGATCAAGAACTGTCTGGACCTCCTAAAGGGTTTCAGAGGCGTCGTAGGGAACCACCAAGAGCTTCCATGAAGGATTATCGTCCTGTCTCTGGTTCACTGTGACGCCTGTTCTTTGCTTAAAGCTTTTTGGTACATAGTTTGACGCATTTCAGCTGATTTCAGGGAAATTCAAGAACTGCAAGATAACCAGAGATTCACATGAGTTAGAGCAGTGGGTCCCAAGATAGCAGGGGGGGCGCCAGGCCTCAGATGATTTTAGGCCAAATATCATATTTAGACTTTTTTTTTTTTTTNNCAAATACCTGTACTTTCTACTTCTTACATGTTGAACACAAATACCTGTACTTTCTACTTCTTACATGTTGAACACAAATACCTGTACTTTCTACTTCTTACATGTTGAACTCAAATACCTGTACTTTCTACTTCTTACATGTTGAACTCAAATACCTGTACTTTCTACTTCTCTCATTTTCCAAACAGGCTGGTTCCTTTAGTCTGAATGTGTGTTTGGTGGCGTGATCATTATTATTTAGAGTCATTGCGTGCCTATTGATTTGAACACGATCCGTGTATCCATCATTTCCTGGTCTTCTCTAAAGAAGAGGGACCAATGGACACGTTGTCATGTTGCCGTTGTTCACCATGGAAACATTCATTAGCTAACAATTACATTATTGTTCTATTAATATAAAGGGAGGTCAGGTACTCTTTAAAACAGCTGCTAGTTATGGGTACTTTTTACTGAAGTACATTTCAAAGTTCTTTACTTTTACTTGAGGAAAGAAGTTTAGTCAGTACTTCTACTTTCACCAGAGTATTTTTAAACTACGAGTATCTGTACTTGAGGAAAGGATGTGTGTACTTTTACCATCTCTGCCGAAAAAAGAACTAACAGGAATTGTCTGAGATGTTTA